TAGTATTTCTATTTCAGATGATGAAAATATCAAATAGAATAGCCTTAGAAACTGGGAGCTATATTCGACCTAAATCTTTTTGACAGGTGTTCCCAGAGATCATTTTTAAAACTATACTTACAGTATTTCCCTTTCATTCCATTCCTTTTTCTCCCACAGTGATGCACCTTAATTTAAAAAATGTCATATGTGTGTAGCATGGCACCAAATGGTGACCGTTGAGCGCAGGCGTATTTAATTGTTCACAGTTCTATTGAATTAGAAAATACCCCATCCATGCCTACTGATTAAATGATTATTTGTTAACTAGTTTTTTTAATTGAGGAAGCAATACACCCACAAGATGAAATATTCAAAAATACAGAAGGATAGATGTTGACAATGTCTCTCTCCTCATTCTAGTTGCCCCTTTTCCCTTAGCTGTTCTTAAAATCTTCCTTCCAGACTCTTATTAAATGTTACCCTCCTCTTTCTTAAATCACAGATAAATCCTTACTACTTGTACAACATCTTCATCTTGTTTTATTAACTTACAGTCTACGTTGAAGGTTTTTCCACATGAGTACATATAGGTTTGTTTTCTTTTTTGATGGTTTGACTTTTATAGAATTTATTTAGTTAGTTCCTGATTGAGTCTATTTTCTTTCATTTTGGAAAGACGGTGGTAGTGAACATCCATAATTAAGTCTGTGCCTGTGAGAGCCTGTCTGTAGTGTAAGTTCCTAGAACTGGAATTCCTGGGTTCAAAGGCAGGGACAGTTAGAATTTTGGTAGATGCACAAGTAGGTTATATACTGTTCATACTTGAACCAATAGTAGTATATGTTAGTGCTCGTCTGATGTAAATTCTAAAATTTTGCAAGAGCAAGCTAGGCCTGTGTCTGTAACTCATCATGTAGGTGGGTGATGGGGCCTGAATGTCCTCATCTGATGGTCCATGAGTAGCATTTGTTAGGTTTCCATGGCCTGAGCCTGTGTTTTCTAGTCTCATGCCCCATTGTTACACTCTACATGCACCTGGCAGAAAAATAAGATTGTCGTAACTTAAAATATTTATTAAAGTACATTTTCTCTGAGTTTAAAAAAATTTGCTTGAAATACTCTGTAGGTATCACAAATTCTTGTATCATCAGATCGCTTTCTCCTGTGTTTATCTCAGTACTGTGTCACCAACTGTTTTTTTAATCAGAAAAATCTTGCGCAGTTTCTCAGGTGATTCTTTTTCCCTCTGAGAGCACAGTTGTGACTGAATGAAGGTATTTCTGTTTTCCTTAGAGAACTAACAGGACATTATCTGAATTCCATCTATTTTTTGTTTTATTATTCTTTGTAAGATGATTATTATCTTTGGGGTCAACAGTAAAGAGAGCATGAAACAGAGTTTCCATACCTTGCTTTATACTGCGATACCATTGCGTACTCTCCCTGTAACCCTGAGCAAATCACTTCACCTCTCTGAGCTTCAGGTTTTTTCTTTTTTGGCTTCCTGAAAAAGCCAGTGGTGGTATTTGCCTGTCTCAGGCTTGCTGTGAGGATTAAACAAGATACCAGAAAGCCTCTAGCGCATTACCTGCAATGCAGTAGGTTTTCGAGAAATATGTGTTGGATCTCATGTTATTGAATATAGAAAGGCAACTTAGCTAAACATATTTTTAAAAAGGGCAAAGTAACATATTTTTTCCCCAGGTGCTGCTTACAGCTGATAACAGACAGGCCCGCTGCTGTTGAAGAAGAGCTCGATCTTATCCAAGCCCTGGGGTGTCTTGAAGAATTTGGTGTGAAGATTCTCCCTTTGCAAGGTGAGTTTTCTGCTTAAGGTGTTACATGCCCTAACTTATTTTGCATCCGTTTACTGTTGTTCCTTTTTAGGTTTTTAAACCAAAGAGTACTTTTGGTCGTTTAATCCATTAGCAACGGGTCCCATCCTCTGTCCGAGTTCCCAATAATGTTGGTAACAGCAGTGAGGCTGTTGGATAAAAATAAAGTAGAAATGGGGGATTATGGATGAACATTTCAGGTTTACATCAGTTTTGAATTGCAGTTTATTTGTTTCAGTTGCATAGATATAGAAGTAGCTGTAACTGATAATGTTTATTTCTTTTTATGCTTAACTGTGTAATATTCCTTAATTTAATCTATATGTATTTTTTAACAAGAGGGAATGACAGGAAGTTGTTGTTGAGAGTTAAATTGCTAGCAGTATCTTAACATTGCTCACGTCCTTTTACCTAAAGGTAGAAGTCAGGCTAGTCCCACCCAAAACAAGCGTGCTGTGTTACCCGGTCACTTGTCCTTTTGTACTTTGTGCAGAGAGGGCCCTGTGCATCTCCTGGTGTCCAGATCCTTGCCTGACAAGTGGGTGGGAGGTTTTCTGTTGCTTCAAACCCTTGACCTCAGTGCCTCAAATGAAGTAGGCAGCTAGGTTATCAGAGGCATTCCTGGCTGGTTCCCATGCAATCTCTTATGTTTAGTCTTAACGCTGGACATACTTGGAATTGAGGGTGGGGAAAGTATAGCTGAGTTCCTTCCATCTCTCTGGTTTTTAATAAATTTTTACCAGAATTGCCTCTCTCTCTCTCTTTTTTTTTTTTAAACTTCTAGTTTCTTTGGACAATGGCAGCCTGATACAGGTTCCTTGGTGTCTTTGTCTTCGGTGGTGCTTTGAATCAAATGGATCTTAGGGAAGATGAGCCAGTAGAGACATTCTCATGTTTTCATGTGGATTTCCATTGCAGTTTTACTAAAAATTAAAGTTCTGTTTGTCACTCAAGTTTATTAGACTTGTAATAGGTAGTATTACTATTACCTTGAATATCACTTTTTGAAAATAATTTGTATGTGGTTATAAATACCCTGCAGCATCTTAAACAAGTACATTCAAGGTGATTGTTAAATCACCAGCAAATTTTATTCAGTTGCACTGTGCATGTAATTTTTGAGCTCAAATCTTCTTAAAACTGTGAGGACTCATTAGAGTTACTGATTTATTCTCAGATATCTTAAATCATTAACTACGTCCCCCGAGACACATATTTTTAATTGAAGTTTTCAGCCCTGAGAGAGTCCAGAGAACTATGAAACTTTTGTCCGTCTTATATCACTTGTTAGGTCCAGCCATTATAGCTTCAAGTCTTATTTTAGCTAGTTATTTATCCAAGCAGATTGAGATAGTACAAAACAGTTTCCCAAATGCTACTGAATTTTGAAAATTACATTGTGCTCTGATTATTCTGTGGTGCTCAATTAGCAGTGTTTGCAGATCAGCGGATGGGTTTCAGTATCTGCAGCCGGTCTAGAGAAAGATTTTACTTTCATGTCCTGACAGCTTTTCAGCTTGATATATTGATTTGGAGTTTCCTGTTAGAATGTCTGTCAGAAAACCTTGTGGATGTGGGGGCGGAATATTCCTTTTGTATACTGTTGGTTGTGTTTATGCCAGATATAATTCAGGTTTATGCTGCTTTTGTATCCATCAGTAATACCAGCCAAAAAAGTAACTTGGTATTCAAAGATTTATGGTCCAGGTATTTTTGTTGCAGTCAATGTACAATAGTTCATTTTGTCACTTTGCTTTTTTTTTTTTTTGGAAGCCTTCTTTGCCCACACTCCAGGAGTTGCTGTTTCTCATCAGGTGAAGGCTAGTGGTACTGGATAAGTTATCGTTCATGAGTTAAATCAAAACAGGATCAGAAATATCATATAAAAATGGCTCCATGTGTAAGAGTCTCCTGTGATGAGTTTCCATGTGTACACGTGTGTGCTCACCCCTATAACTGGGGCGTTTGTGTGTGTGTAAATTATTCTTACTATTCAAATGAGCCGATTTAGGGTATTCCAGTTGTCTCCCGTATTCTTCCTTCAACAGTGTAAGTCAGGTTTCCAGCCTTGCAGCCTTGTGTTAAACCCAGCCTGGAGCACATTTTGCCACTTGTTGCTGGGTGGCTGGACACGTGTCTTAACCTTTCTTGGTGTTTAACTTTTCTCATTTACGAGAAGGGCATAGTTAGAAGCATCTCATAGACTTTCTTACAAAGATGAAGTCATATGTTTGCAGTGCCTGGGGTACTGTAAGAGCGCTAGGAGCATCAGCGGCATTTCAGCTGTTTTCAGACTTGGGGGTCCTCGTACGGATGTAGACTTAGAGTGGTCTTACGTGCTTTCTCATTCTCATTTCATTTCATTTCTCATTCATGCCCGTGTGTCACGTCTGAGTTTAAATTCTGATTCAGCACTTTGAGCTGTGCTCTGTTGTAATTTAACGTCTTTGAACTTTACCTTCCTCAGGTGGAGATAATAATGAAATAGTCCTTAGTCCTGAGAGTTAAAGCTTGAAACACTGAGAATCCTTACACTGCAGGGTCCAATACTTAAGCATTTCTGTGCCTATATTAGTAATAATAATAATAACAATTGAGTGATTGTTATGTTCTGAATATGCTTTGCATGTGTCTATTAACTCTCTCAAGTAGCCTACGAGATAATGACTGTTACTGTTTTCGTTCTCCAGATCAAAGTTGAGTAGCTTGCTTACAGTCCCACAGCTAGTTAGAGGTGAAGCTAGAATTCAAACCCAGGTAGTCTGGCTCAGGAACTGCATTTGTAACAGTGGACAGTGCTCTACTGATGAAGAGGCGTGAAAGTAAAAGTTTCTTTGAGAAGGAGACTCGGGCCTGTGTTCTCACTCATCAGTTAAGTGACCGGCCCAGGCGTATTATCTCCTTCCTCACCTACGTGGTCTAATTTGTGCTTCAACATCGTGAGTAACTATAAATGTTGTGCGCCTCTGATGCCATTAGTGAGTGGCTGAAATCGATACTTTACATCTGTGGTTTGCTGGACACGTGCTGTCCCCGCCTCCTAACGTGATGAGACTGCTTGGCATGTGAGTAGCTGGTCGATAAATACTTCTTATATCTGAGATGGATATGT